ACACCAATCAACTACACTGAAACTCATTGAAGAGAAAGTGGGAAGTACACTTGAATGCATTGGCACAGTAGACCACTTTCTAAATATAACCCCAGTAGCACAGACACTGAGAGAAACAATTAATAAATAGGACCTCCTGAAACTAAGAAACTTCTGTAAAGCAAAGGACATAGACAACAAGACAAAACGGCAGCCCACAGATTGGGAAAAGATCTTCACTAACCTGATATTGGATAGAGGACTAAGCTCCAAAATATACAAAGAACTCTAGAAACTTGACATCAAAAGAACAAATAATCCAATAAAAAATGGGGTACAGACCTAAACAGAGAACTCTCAACAGATAAATCTCAAAAGGCTGAAAGACACTTAAGGAAACGCTCAACATCCTTAGTCATCAGAGAAATGCAAATCAAAACAACTCTGAGACTCCATCTTATACCTGTAAGTATGCCCAAGATCAAAAACACTGAAGACGGCTTATGCCGGAGAGGTATTTTGGGTAAGGTAAATGTGTCTCCATTGCTGGTGGGAGTGTAAACTTGTACAGCCACTTTGGAAATCAGTACGATGATTTCTCAGAAAATTAGGAAACAATCTACCTCATGACCTAAGCAATACTACTGTTGGGATATACCCAAAGGATAATCATAACACAAGGACATGTGCTCAGCTATGTTTATAGCAGTACTATGTGTAATAGCCTGAACCTGGAAACAACCTAGATTCCCCTCAACAAAAGAATGGATGAAGAAAATGTGGTACATTTCCACAATGGAGTACTACACAACAGTAATGATAATAACAATAATAATAATAATAATAATAATAATAATAATAATAATAATGACATGTTGAACTTGCCGGGCAAATGGATGGATCTAGAAAAAAACACATTCAGTGAGGTAACCCAGACCCAGAAAGACAAATATATGTTCCCACTCATAAGTAGCTTTTAGACATTAAGCAAAGAAAAACCAGCTTGCAGTCCACAACCCCAGAGAACCTAGACAACCTTAAGAGAGACATACATTGATCTACATAGAAAGGTGAAAAAGACAAGATCTCCTGAGTAAATTGGGACCATGAGGGTCACGAGGGAGGCTAGAAGGGAAGAGGGGAGAAAGTGAGGGGAATGGAAAAGAATGTTTAGCTCAATAAAAACAAAAAAATTATACTATCCCTTGAGCCATTACATCTTCAAGTCTAGAAAGGCTTGTACAATGCCACAAAGCAACCTCTTGAAATCTAGTAGGTACTAGAGGAATCCTTAAATGTATAGGATCTTTTAGTCCTAGGCTTTCCTGGAACTCACTTTGTTGAGCAGACTGGCTTTGAACTTAGTGATCCACCTGCCTCTGCTTCCCCAGTGCTGGGATTGAAGGGGTGTACCACCATACCCAGCTAAATGTGCACTATCTTTATCAGTGTAGGAAGTAGAGTTCTGGACCACTCTAAAATTATCTGCTGGAAAAGAAAATATGGGGCTGCCTAGGTTGTTTCTGGTTACCAGTCCTGCTGCTTGAGGCACTTCTCATCCTCCTAATTTCTAGACTGAACCACCAGTCTTGTCTTGTGCCCCACCGGAAATCTTTTATCTGAAACAGGCCAAATTTCACCCAGAGTCTGAGAAAAAAAAGGAGAAATATGTTTTAAAAAGGAAATTGCTGTGGAATAATCCTTCTGTACACTGTGACTATATATTACTCTCATTGGATAATAAAGATGCTGATTGGCCTATAATAGTGAAGTATTATACACAGCGAGACAGTCATATTGAGGATACTGGGATAAAAAAGGGCAGAGTGAGGGGTTACCAGTCAGATTCAGAGGGAGCAGGAGATGAACATGCCAACCTAATAAAGATACCGTCAACTGGCAAAGCATAAATAAAAATATGGGTTAATTTTAAATGTAAGAGCTAGTTAGTAATAAGCCTGAGTTATTGGCTGACTATTTGTAAGTAATATTGAATTCTCCCTGTTGGCTATTGGGGAAGCAGCTGTAGCATAGGAAAACTTGCCTATTATGGTACCCAATGTGAAGCAAGAATTTCTTCACAAAACCCGAGAAATCTTTAAAGAAGAAAAGGATTCTAAACACACACAAGAATAGTGTCAAGCTCAGTTTCTGCTGCCTTATCTCCAATGGGCTCTGTTTGTTAGTGGCAAACAGAGGCACAGTGCTGCAGCCAGCACAGCCTGGATAGTCAAGACTAGTGGGGGGGTGCCGGGATTGAGACATGGAGGCTTCTTTTCAGGGTAGAAGAATAGCGACCTTTATTTTGCCCAGCAACCTTTTATACCTCTACTCCTTCTGTGGAGATCCACCAGCCAGAAAGAACACAAACATCCTTGTCAATTATAGACCACAAGGAAGTTCCTCTGCCAGGGGGAGTGAGGGCAGCAGGATCACAACAACTCCCCCCATTTTATTTTATAATACATTGCCTGTCATGGGAAATAGCCCTCTAATATTCTTTGTCTTAGGTGACATCCTGCCCCCAAAGTATTGCCTGTCCATGGCTACCCAGACACATAGTATTAAACCAAGTATCCCCAGGACTGACAGGGCCAACAAGTCAGACCAGCACTGCAACCATCTAGCATGCACTAACTGGGTGGTAAAATTAACAAAAGCAGTATTCCAAACCCCTCTCATATGACAGTTGAGTTCCATAACAATAGCAGAAGCATGCAATACAGTGCCATGATTAACACACATAACACAATAAACTGTTGAAAAGTCCAAAGATAGTCCTCTTGCTCCTGAACCAGAGCTACTTGCTGGTTCAAGGTCAATATGCCCAACTGAGTATGTCCAAAGCATTGCTGACTCTTTTCAGCAAGCTGGTTGACAGTCTCAGCCGTTTGCACAGTCTGGGAGAGAGCAAGCCCAGCAGCAGTAGCTGTGGTGGCAAAGCTCTGCTCCAGCTGCCTCTGGCCCCAGCCGCACTCGTTCTGGATCCAAACTGCTGCATGGAGTGGAGCAGAACTCAGAGAAGCAGGCTTGCTGCTCCTGCTCCGGAACCATTGAAGGGGCCCCAGTTTCAATCTTTTAGGGAATTTGGGCATTGTCAACCTGTCTGGCTACTTCCTGCTGAACGGGGGTGCTGCATTCTTGGGGACTATTTTACATCATCATTTCACGGGTTCTTGGTGATTCAAACCACATAAATTTGCAATGAATCCACAGGTTCTCATCCTCTGTGGAGACAAAAGCAGAACCTCTTTTCCAAAGCATCAAATCCTTAGGCCTGTATTTTAAAGTCAAAATACCTTTCTTAGTAGTTCCCAGAATCAAATGTCTTTCTCCAGCCCAGAACATAAAAGACAACACAATAACATATATCTCTACACATTCTATCTTTTGAAGCCCTCAATTCACCTTCCTGCCTCCTTTTTATTACTTCCCTACTGACCAATCTTCCAGAGGGCATCCCTCAGAGCATCTCTGGGGATGAAGACATACATACTCCTTTTAATCTGACTTGACTTTTTCCCAGTCTGGAACATTTAGATCCCCTCCTGTACAAAATCTTTGACTGTCTTCCTTGTTACTTCCATGCCTTGTTGCTTTAAGAGTTTTAGTTACTTTTTGAGGCCTTTCAATTCACCCTCTCGCCTCTTTATACTTGCTTATCTTTTGGAGGATGTCCCTCAGAGTTATCTCTGGGGATGAAAAATAAAAACACTTTACCTTCCCCAGTACTCTCAACGATTTAGCTGGCGGCTGGAGCAACCCTGTTCACGTATCCCCACTTTCCAGATCTCGGTGGAACCTACTCTTGCTGCAGCCAGCACAGCCTAGATAGCCAAGACTGGTGGGGGAATGCCGGGATTGAGATACGGAGGCTTCTTTTCAGGGTAGAAGAATAGCAACCTTTATTTTGTCCAGCAACCTTTTATAGCTCTACTCCTTCTGTGGAGACCCACCAGCCAGAAAGAACACAAACATCCTTGTCAATTACAGACCACAAGGAATTTCCCCTGTCAGTCAGGGGGAGTGAGGGCAGCTGGATCACAACAGCACAGCTCTTTTAAGAGACAATTTCCTGGATCATTGCTAGTGACAAAAACCTTGTGACTCTTTTCAGAGGCCCTGCTCCCTAACACTTAAATGGAGTTTATAAGCAGTAGGCACACTACTCAGTGACAATGTGGACCCAGAAACTTCCCAGAACTGGGGCAGTACCTGAGGCTCCCAGAGTTGGCAGTAAATGTATCTGTGCCGTGAGACTAGGCTCTCAGGGAACCGAGGATGATTTAAGTTACACAGCAAGGTTTATTTGTTTGTTTGTTTTGCTCATGCAGACAGAAGAGGTTTACAACACACAGGAAGGACAGATTCAGACAAAAAGAACCTCGAAATGGGTCACAGTGTGTTTGAAAATGTGTGTAGACTTGGGAGAGTGATGTGGGATGCCCTTTGTGAATATGTTTTATTACCATTGGTTAATAAAGAAGTTGATTTGGCCAATGGCCAGACAGAATAGAACCAAGTAGGAAATCCGAGCAAAGATAAAGGGAAAAGGAAGGCAGAGTTTGGGAGATGAGCAGCTGCCAGGGAAGCAAGATGTGAGGTAGCAAGTCATGAGCCTGTGGTAATAAATAAAATAATAGAAATGGGTTCATTTAAGTTATAAAAACTAGTTAATAATAAACCTGAGCTAATAGGCCCAATAGTTTGTAATTAATATTAAGTCTCAGAGTGATTATTCGGGAACTGGCAGGTAGAAGAGAAACCTCCCAGTACAGGAAAGAGAAGAGAAAGAGTATATACAGTCTTAGATTTAAAAATATTGTTTTAAAATAATAAAATAAAGTCCTTAAAAGGGAGTAAAGTAATAAAAAAGAAATAAGCGACATAAAGATGGGAAACCTCAGAGAGTCTAGATCCTGTGTGTTACTGTGCCATCTTTGAATTTTCTGGCTGCTAAGAAACAAAGAATTATAAAAATTACTAGATTCAACCAATCTATAGATTTTAAAGATATCTTTGTGCTCACTTCAGTAGCACATATACTAAAATTGGAATGATACAGAGAAAATTAGCATGGCCCCTGTAGTCGGAAGGCATGCAAATTCATGAAGGTTCCATATTTTTTCCTCCAATCTTTTAAAATTCCCACCATCTCCTAATAGTGCCAGGCTGTTGACTAAGCTTCAACCCATGGGCCTTTGGGAAACATTCTTAATCCAACCTACAGCATTCAGAAAAGGAACAGCCTAGAGCCAGAGTGACCACAAGAACCCAAGCTCTTGGGAATCTTTGCAATACTTGAGGTCAGTCTTGCAATTCCATAAGATGTGGGAGAGGGAACTGGTGCAGATTTAGTAATGTTTAGAAGTCAAATGACTTCAGCAGATAACAAAGAGCAACAAATAGTCATATACAAACTTCAGTATCTGTATTCCATTTTGGCTCCAGAGACACTTGTCTCTGTCACATGACTTTGCTCATCACTCTTTATTCTATCATGTATTGAAGTAAGGTATTAGCTCTCAGACGGTAATTCTGTTTCTGACTGTCTCCATGTACAACCCTAGCAAAAATGCATGTATTTGCCCTAATTAATGATTTTATTCTCTGGTGCGGGAGAATTATCTGTATTCTGTCAATCATATTTTAATAAAACGCTGATTGGCCAGGCAGGCAGTATAGGCGGGAAAGCCAGACAGGAAGTAGGGGTGGAGCAAAGAGACTGGGAGTATTCTGGAAGCAGAAGCTCTCTCTCAGCCACTCCTGCGCAGATCACTGAAGAGGCAGCATGTAACTTGCCCAGCTGAGAAAGGTACGGAGCCAATATGGCTAACATAGATGAGAATAATGGGTTAATATAAGTTATGAGAGTTAACAAGAAGCCTGACCTAATGAGCCAATCAGCTTTATAACTTATAGAGATCTCTGTGTGGTTGATTTTCCTTGGGGTATGCCAGCTCTGGGGTACCGGGCGGGACGGAAACCCCAACAAGCTAGCCCTCATGTTACAATTCTCTACTACCTAGAAGACCAAATTCTTAAGAGAATAAATAGGATTACGGGTGACACACACACACACACACACACACACACACACAAATGTGGATAAACTCTATTCTTAAGTATAATGAATCTTACTTTACATGTGTAAAATATTTACTTTGGAAAAATATTCAGTGTGTTGAAGAAATGCTTATATTTTATGTAAAAAAAATAAACTAAGTTATAAAGCAAAAAATAAAGATATCTTGACTTTAAAATTTAAGTCAAAAGATGTGTTACATTGGGGGAGAGATTATGGTTTTACTTTCACAGAAAATGAAAGTCTGTGGATTCATTCTAGGTTACAGAAAATCAGGTTTGATCAAGGAAGACCCTGAAATCCTGACTACAAACATAACAAAAATAAACCTAGAAGAACTATCTTGTGCCTGAATAGAGAGTGAAGTCAATTCTATATCATCTGATATAAATTCAGTCATTGCAATAAGCAAAACAACTCTTTCTGCAGATTGTGAATTGATAACTATGTTGAGAGGTTCTTTAAAATCCCTTAGTACCATGAAAATAGCATATAATTCTGACTTTTGGACAGAATCATAAGAGCTTTGTTCTACTTTACTTAAATGTTCTGCCTTTCCTGATTTGTTTGCATCAGTATAGAATGTATAGAATGTAGGGGTTCCAGTTATTGGTGTGTCCTGTGCAAGGAAGGATCCAATTAGTTCTCTTTATAAGTTGAATTCCTTTGCTTTTGGAATAGTTGTTATTAATCTCCCCACCGCAAAAAAAAATTACTACAAACTCTTTACCAGGTTTCACTTTCTTCCCATAATTTGTCAATTTCATCATTATTAAAAGGTTCTATAATTTCTGCTGGGTCTATTTCTGCTAATTGATAAAGTCTCAATTTTCCCTTTAGAATTAACTCAGAGACCTTTTCCTCACAAGCTTTTAATTTTTTTACTCAGTTTGTGTGATAAAAAAGATCCATTCTAAGATAATATCTTTCCTCAGCATTAAAATTCCTGTAGGGGAGTGTTTGGAGGGTAATATAACCAGAACGCAGTTAAGATTCAGATTCACAAGCTGGGTAGTGGTGGTGCATGCCTTTAATCCCAGCACTCAAGAGGCAGAGGCAGGTAGATCTCAGTGATTTCATGGCCAGCCTGGTCTACAAGAGCTAGTCCCAAGACAGGCTCCAGAGCTACAGTGAAACCCTGCCTCAAACCAGACCAAACAAAACCATAGGCAGAGGCTATAGGTGGAAGCTGCCTGTATGTTACTGGCTGCCCAGACTCAAATAATCACACACAAACTATATTAATTAAAACACTGCTTGGCCTATTAGCTCTGGATTCTTATTAACTTTCTCTTACCTCTTAAATTAACCCATTCCTATTATTTTGTATTTTACCATGAAGTTTGTGGTTTACCAGTATGGTTCCCGGGTGTCTATCTCCTTTGGCGGCTACATGACATCTCTCTGATTCCACCTTCTTTTCACCTCTATCTCTGCTTGAAATTCCTACCTTGTTCTATTCTGCACTACAATAGACCCAAAGCAGTTTATTTATTAATCAACGGTAATAAAACATATTCACAGCATACAGGGGGAATCCCACATCAACAAACAAACCAAAAAAGATTCAGATCCACATGAACCACATGTACCTTCTATAAGTTTTCTTTAATCAAAGTCAATTCTCTCTCATCTTCAGCTGATAATTCCCTGGGACTATTTAAGTCCTTGTCACCATCTAAGGTTTTGTTTAAATTAGTCAGGGCATCAGGACCTGTCCCAATAGAGCACTGCAAATGGGAAATGTCTCCTAGCAATCTTTGGAAATCATTTAGAGGCTACAATCAATCTCTACTAATTTGCACCTTTGAGGTCTAATTTTTTGTAAACCTATTTTATATCCTACATAATTAATAAAATCTCTTCTTTGTACTTTTTTTTTCAGGAGAAATTTGTAATCCCTATAAAGTCAAAACTTCCTTTACTTCTTCAAACATTTTCTCTAAAGTATTTACATTTGAATCAGATAACAAAATGTCATCCATGTAATGGTAAACTACAGATTCAGGAAATTGTTTAAGTATCATTTCCAATAGCTGACTTACAAAATATTGGCACAGGGTGAGGTTATATAATTTTTGCATAGAGAATTGGCATTTTCAAAAGTCAGAGATTCAATTATTATTTGTGTAGCTTCTGAATTTGGTATCATTCTTTTTACTGCTGAAGTCAATTTTTGTAAGAAATCTGTAAAAGCTTCCTTTGGGCCCTGTATAACTTTAGTAAATTACTCAATTTTCTTTTTATTTCTCCAATTCTGTCCCAAGCATTCAAAGCTGCTGCACAGCACAATGCCAGGGTGTGGTCATCATATACAGCTTGTGTGTCTATAGTAGCATGGTATGGGATTAACCTCTGCATGCTATGAATATATTTTATTACCATTGGTAATAAAGAAGTTGCTTTGGCCTATGGCAGGGCAGAATACAGCTAGGCAGGGAAACTAAACTGAATGCAGGAAGAAAGAAGTCACAGTTAGACACCATGTAGCCACCCAACAAGCAAGCGTGAGGTAACAAAGCACAAGCCTTATGGTAAAATATAAAATGATAGAATTGATTCATTTAAGATGTAAGAGCTAGCTAGGAATATGCCTGAGTCGTTGGCCAAATAGTGTTGTAATTAATATATATTATTTGGGTCTGGGTGGCTAAGAAATGAAAGCACAGTCTCCATTTACATAATGGCACCCAACATTTGGCAACATATATCCACACAAAGCCTAAGAAAGTTTTCTTTTTAAATGGCCTTCTAGACCCACAAAAAACGGGAATCAATTACAGCTTCTCAGTAGCTGCATTTTTCCAGATAGGCTCTGTTTGCTGGCCACATGCAGAGGCATAGCTTCTTTAAGAGACAGCTTCCTGGTTCATACTCTTTGCACAAATGGCTCTGGATTTTTCCGGGGGGGGGGGTGTCTTGCTACAGAGCATTTAAATGGTTTTTGTGAGCAGAGTGCTACAAGTTGCTTAATGGTGACAAAGACCCCCCCCCACTAAGTCACTGGAGTTTGGACGGTGACCCTGGCTTTCAGAGGCAATGAACATACCTCTGCCATGTTGGAAGGGGCAGGGCCAACAAGTGAAGTCGCAGTATTAAGTCCTAGCCATGCCTACTTAGCATTTTTTTTAAAAAGTTCTCCTGGTCAGAAAATTCCTGACTAATGTGGTTTGATGCAACAAGATCCCCCAAAAGGTCTCCATGAACACTAAAAATACTTTACCCAACAAACAGCCAGAAGCAGTTTGGAGAAAACAACACCCAAATTCCCAAAATTATTGTTTATAAATGCTTGTTTTCATTTAAAGGAATTTGAGGCTACACTTTGTTTCCCAGGCACCCAGACCCAAACAATCACACAAAAACTAAATTAATTGGGGCTGGTGAGATGGCTCAGTGGTTAAGAGCACTGACTGCTCCTCCAGAGGACCCGGGTTCAATTCCCAGCACCCACATGGCAGCTTGCAACTGTCTGTAGCTTCAGTTCAAGAAAATCTGACTTCATTATACCAATATGCATGAAATAAAGTTAAATAAAGTTTTTAAAAAAAAACTAAATTAATTATAACACTGTTTGGTCAGTGGCTCAGGTATAGTCCTAGCTAGCTCTTATATCTTAAATGAACCCATTTCTATTATTTTACATTTTACCACGAGGCTCATGGTTTGTTACCTCACATCTTGCTTCTTAAGTGGCTACACGGCGGCTGCCTAACTGTGCCTTCTTTCTTCCTGCATTAGTTCAGTTATTCCCACCTAGCTGTATTCTGCCCTGCCATAGGCTAAAGCAGCTTTTTTATTAGCCAATAGTAATAGAACATATTCATAGTATACAGAGGGGAATCCCACATCAGTAGCATAGTCTCCTTCTCCAAGAATTTGATCTTGGGAGATGTTTACTCCATTGTTCAATAATCTCAGCCTTTTCTCTGAACCAGGTACTCCACTATAATTGTAGATCAGGCTCTAAAACACCATTAATCGATTCTATCCAGTCTTTAGGGATGATTCTATTATCCCTAAACTGACCACAAGTTTAACAT